AAATCTTTATGAAATTTAGCATCTTCATTAAGTTTTTAATACTCACTGTTATTATATACATGATTGCCTACATCATAAAGTTTATTTTAGATTGAACATTTTATGAAGAATCCAGATAAAAGAATTTGGAAAAAAGCATTTCCTTTGTGCCTTGTTTCAAAAAAGGGGTTCTTATTAGTCCTTGCAGTTATTTTGTAACCCCTTGGGGACTCAATGAATGTGTGGTTTTTCTGTGTTACTTAGGATGCTACTGGTCTCAAGCTCTCTACACCAAAATTGCTATTTAATGTTGTTCTCTCAGGTCATCTTCAAAGCATCTGTAGACCTAAATCCAAGATTACCAAGAGAGTTGTTAGAGTTTGTTAAATAAGTATGATTTATGTTTCCTTTATAAAGTTGATCCAGAATCTAATGACAGTGACCAATTGATTTCTAAATTCCTTTTAACTGTTTTCCAAATCAACATTAACTATAGGCCAAGAAACAATGTGACATGGAAATAGTACAATTCTCTAGCCAAAACTAAAGCTATCTGGTGAGATCTGTGTACCTCTATTGTAATCAGTTGGATATTTTCCATATCTTGAAGCAGAATGGAGCCCAGCTGGGTGACAACATTAATACAAGTGGCAGGAGGAACTCATAACATTTAAAATGAACTGTTTTTTAAAATACATAGTCATCAGATACATCTTGGTAAAATGTGGTTAGAGCTGTTATGTCAGCTTTCTCACTTACTTCAAAAAGTGCGATGTGTTCTCCATCTGTTTTCGCAATCCTGAGCTAACTAGCTACATTTAGGATGTGTTCTTACTTAGGGCCATTCTTTTATGAAGGTGTGCCATAAAAGCATCCAGGTGTCAGCAACCTGCCCAAATGGTTTCCATTAAGCCTGCTTGGAGGTGATGACATTTCAAATGTCACAACGCCTCTCAGAGCTGCTAATTGCATTAAATTCTAAAATAACTGTATGCTTTGTACTCTACACCCAGATGCCATGGAATTAGCAAACTGACTGAGCAAACATAAAATCTTATCAGCATGCACCTTCTAAAATGTTTTTTTCTGCTCAGAAAAATCTAAATAGGTCAATCTGTTTCATTTAGAAACAATCAAAACTATAGCTGGGCTTTTCAGTTTTTTCCCCCCTTTTTTGAGTACTAGGCATTAAACTCAGGGTCACTCAACCACTGAGCCACATCCCCAGCCCTTTTTTGTATTTTATTTAGAAACAGGGTCTCACTGAGTTGCTTAGCTCTTTGCTAAATTGCTGAGCACTGGCTTTGAACTCATGATCCTCCTGTCTCAGCCTCCTGAGCCACTGGGATTACAGGCATGCACCACCTTGACAGCACTTTCAGCTTTTATTAGTCATAAGTTTTAAAATCTGGCAAATCTCATTAGGTTAATTCTAAAGAATATGAACTTACACATTTTCTGTTAATTATTTTCAAAATCCTTCATTCAGACTTATGGGTAATAATCAAAAGGTTTCAGGAGAGTCTATGTTGCTATATTTAGGTGGGTGACAGCCATACTTAAGGGCCATGTTGATTGCAGAAATGACTTCAACCAAGAGAGAAAACAAAATGTTAAGTGACAAGATAAAAATCCAAAGAATAACAGACTTTGAGAATATGAATGTAATAAAGGGGGCATTTTATGTTAGTAAATGTGAAGTCTTGGACTTGGTCCCAAATACTAATTTCTCAAATACAGAATAGGGTAAGGAGACACACCTGTGAGCTCAGTGGAGGGTTAAGACACATGCATCCTCAATAAAACAATGTGATCTTGAAGGGAGTTAATATTGTATTTAAGATTAAGAAAACTCTGTCCTTCTTTGCTGTGGCTGGTCAGAACACACCTAGAAAGCTGTATTCAATTTTAAGCATCAGCTTTAAAGCTCTTTAAAGAGTACTAGACTGTGTCTACAGGAAGGTGAAGGAGTCTTGGAGCTCTGTCACAATATGAACATCCAGAGAAGCTGGAAATATGCAAATTGAGAGAATAGACCCAGAAGTTCCATGGCTGCTCTGAATACCTGCAGCACTGTCATATGAAAATGGATTGGATTTGTACTGGCTGGCTCTAAAGATAAGAGACAGAACCATCAATGGAAAATGAAGAGGGACATGATTTTAATGTTACTTAAAGAACTTCTACTTTGTCTCATATTAATAATGCAGGGTTGTCGGGTAACAAGTTCAGTACTGTAATGTTTGACGGTACTGTAATGTCTGACTACCCAACTGAATTCTCTGTAGTGGAGAATTTGACCTATGGATGGAAGTGGGGTGGAATAGATAATATTTAAGGTCCATTCCAGTCCCTCAACTTCTTCAAACCCATAAATGGTCATGGTTATCATCTTGGAAAACCATGTAGTATTTACCACCTTCCCTGTGGGGAAAAAAAAAAGAAATAAGACCATTAGCAGTTTAATAAAGGTATTTTACTCTATTTGATCCCAATAATCAAAACAGGAACTTTCCAGAGTACTCTGGTTATAAGTAAATACATTTTTCTCTGGAAGCTGTCAGTCATCTGCTGCCTTCAGACAGCAGCAAATCGGAAATGACCCAGGGTTCATTTTCAAAAGCACACAACTAAAGTTGAAAATAAGCAATTGTCAACGTAAACAAACTTGTGTTAACTCTACTTTTTTTTTTTCCCTAAACAGAAGCTAAAAACATTGAGGGATTTTTTTATTCATGTGGCAGAGAAAACACAGCTGGCATAGTGGCAAGCATTCAGGGCAACCAACATTGGGTGGTACTGTTGAAAGTGAAATTCACTGGGTTCATTGGGTGATAAGGCAGTTTAGTGAACAATACATTTATAAAATGCTACAGTTTAAAAGATGTTTTCATGTACTTTGGGTCAGAGTTGTGTACTGAGTACCTGATGTACTTATTAAAAGAACAAGCTTTTGGAACTGAGTATATAAATCGTGGGCATATTTGCTAGGAAACACACTACTGGTCTGTTAGTTTTGGGTGCTTGATGAAAGAATGTGTCTTTGTATTCTAAAATTTAAAACGCTGCATGACAAGGCAGCACCTGCCACCCCAACCCACAATGTGTCTACATAATTAAACACCATTTGTGATGCTGCTGGGAGAAATTCAAGGAGCAGAGAGCCCAGAAGAGAAGGCCTTCATGCTAGACATTTCATGAGTGTTTTTGTGATCTGCAGTGACACCGGGAGATAAAGGATCTCACTGTTCTGGAAAACACATACCTTCCCCTCAAATGCGGTCATGTCAATGTTTATTTTCCCCAGTAATCAACATACTAAATGTGCCTTGTCTCAACCTCCTGTCCCAGTAATATAAATTCAAGGTTTTCAGAAACAGACATTCATGGAAGTCAGCAGAGCATGGCGTAGAAGCTTGTATGTTTACAGTCCCTTCAACAAAATGGGTTATGAATCCACAGTGAGTGTCACACTAAAACAAACTGTTTTGAGGCTAGGATCTGAATTCTCTTTCTAGCCTAACATATGCCAAATTGGTGCTGCCGTTCACCCAGGGAAGCCGGATGAGAGAAGATGGTTAAAAAAGAAACCAGTTCAAGTCATCAGGCTTATTGATGGGGGATTTTGATGATCCTGGAAAACAAGGGGCATAGCATACAAATTTTATGATACTTAGGAATGTATATGAGTCGTGACAAAAATTCTAGAATATTCTATAGGGAAACAGAGGCATGGCATTGTTAATTATTAAATTTCATCCCAATCATGTCAACTGTCAGTGTTGATGAACTCATTCCATGGGATTGCTCATCTTTCTCACACTCGGGAGAATATTTTGTGGTGCTTGATTCAGATGGCCCCTCAATGATTTGGGTAGCATTTCCTCAACTACATCAATCTCTTCTATGAAAACTAGAATTATTTAATTTACTCTGCAGGAGACATTTGGGTATAATGGACTATATAAACCCTCTCTTAACCCTTTACTTTGTGTACAATTAAGGCTGGATGGAAGGGGGAGGAGGTTGAAGGGAAGCAGGTAAGCAGAGGAAAAGTAGGTCAAGTTTGCTTCTTGTCCCCTCTTCAAATCAATTCAACTACAGATGCTCTTTCCCTTCTCTCTGCTCCACAGACAGCCGGCACCATGAGCCAAAGCCGCCCCCTCACCGCCTCCTGCTCCCATCAGGCCAATCAAGTGGATAAACCCAGGGAAACAGAAGGAAGATCATTTAGGACGAGCTGTATTCACTATTTAGAAATAGCATGGCCATGTGAAAGGAATAGAGGCAGAGATGGAAACATTCACTGTTAAAGCACTGCCCCCTAGCCAATCCTAATATTCAATACCTGGTTTTATTTTTGTCTTGAGCTCTCTCATATAATTGTTACCCTGTTTGCTTTCAGGGGCCTTGAGTCAAAACCCATCAAAACTACAAGGGAGTCACCAGGCCTAGGTTTTTATTCTTGTTTTTAACCCCAGACATAGTATGTACATTGAACAAACTGATCACCTATTGAAGGCTTGTGTCTTTATCTCAAAGTGGAATTAACAAACCCCACTCTTTTGCCTTTCTCCTAAAGTCACAGTAGCCTGAAATCTTTATTATTTTATTTTATTTTAGGATATTTCATTTAAAAACTGAAGAGTTTTTTTTTTCCTATTGTAAGAATAGAAAAAAACCAGTGGATACGATCAGAATGGTATTATATTTAATTCCATTTGCCACCAGACTGTGTAAGACTGAGGTGAGAGGCTTAATATCTGCCAAACCCAAACTGTGAGCTAAAGGATGATAATTTTGAGAAAAGAGAAGTCTTGGGCCCTCCAGGTTTACAATGATCAGCCTCATGAGTCAACACAATTGGGGCGGGGGGAGGTGCGGTCCTGTGTTCCAAATGTGAAGACCAAACCTCCCTGAGCGTAGGTGGAGCTCTCTCCTGAGATTCTGGGCTGGGTGTAGCACGTGGAGATCGGTCCCTCTGACCCAGTGTTTTTATCTTCTGTTTTGTTCCTTTGCAGAGCTCTCAGCATGGTGGCTCTTCTACTTCACTGGCATCCACCAAAGTCTGCAGCTCAATGGATGAGAACGATGGCCCTGGGGAAGGTGATAAGCTTGGGACTTGGTGTCTGAGGAGAAGGCCCAGCTTTGATAGGGGCAGAGGAATGGGTTGGCAGAATTAACTCTGAAAAGCTGTTAGCAGCTCAAGCAGAAGGGAAAGGACCAACCCAAGCAGTTCTCGAGGGTCCATGATAAGGGGCTGGGATGGAACACAGCTCCCACAAGGGATGGGGATGGACTCCTTAGAATGGGAAGAGTTGGCCTCAGTGGGACACATTTCCCTTTCTCTGAGAGTGGGTATTGCCCAGGAAGGACAGCTGTTGCCTGCTTGGGAAATAACAGAGGGTAACTGCTGCCCCTGTGTTCCCAAACTCTGTTCTCTTTTCATACATTGGAGGCTATTGGCTCTCTTGACTATTACAGCCACAGATGTGCTCTCATGGCTGTGAACTCGATGTATGAAACCATGGTTTTACAGAAAGAATTAGAGATGATTGCAAACGCTACTTTTTTTTCGTTAAGCTAATTCAGTTTTTAGATTTTCAATGTGAGGCCGTCCTGTGACCTGGATCCCAGAATCAACTTTTTCACTAACTCACTGGATGGTTTGGGGCAAGCCTCTTCAACTGTCCATAATATAGTTCTTCTTCTGTAAAATGGGATGGTAAAATACATACCTATTTCCTCCCTTGGGGTTGTTATCAGCTCAAAGTGACTAGGGAAAAGTGTTTTTAAAAAAGGGTTCTGATCAAGCCACTCTTAAAAAATCAGCTCCTCTTACTTGGTATTTCCTCAAATGCCCTGTGGGGGAGGCACTTTTATTGTGACAAGAGAGTGAGACTCTGGGATTTACATCATTTCCTTATAGACTGACAATATAATTCAATAGAATTCACAATTCAAATCTGGTTCTGAGCTTCCTGGTGAAATATATCTGAGAAGATCTCAGTACTTTGAGATTCTCGTTTGAAAATGAAATATTCCTACTTTAGTATTTCTCAGTCTTTAATATACACATTTTGTTGTGAATCTCTAAGAGGGAGATGTATCAATTCAACTGCTTAAGAATGATCTAATCATATTATCGTTTACTTCAGGCACATGTAGGTGTGAGAAACTAAGGGTCCTGGAAATGAAGACTTAATGACAATAATATTTTTATAATATTTCATAAAAAGTAAAATAAAATCACCGCTTTCTCTAACAAAAGCAAAGTCAGCATATGCTTTTAAAATGTATTATATCTTGTTAACTAAAAGCCCCATTTTTATTTCTTATTAGTCTTGTTTTGAGTGGAAGTAAAATGGCAATTTTTTTATATTTAAATGAAACTGAAAGACGTTGTTCTCTTAAATACTCAAGCCTTTTCATCAGTCTTTCTTCCCTAGAGACAACAATATGTATTTTTACCTGAACTTTAAATCATCATTGCAATTTAATTTCTAGGTTTTATTATGTTGGGAATCTTTCTAAAGTATTTTTCATAAAGCTTGCTTTATTTCACACACACACACACACACACACACACAGAATTATTTCCTGGCTACCATGCAAAATCAGACTTTTTGGCGCTACCATGTCTGTAGTTCAGCCACCTAGAAGTCTCTTTTGTTCTGATGTGTTTTATTTGCCTAATGAAATGAAATGGTCTTTGAGTAAGCCTTTGGCTGAGCCTTCTTGGCCAAAAGCCTAAAAAGTACCTTTTATCAATAATCAGGGAAAAAAAATCCCAAGCCCTGCCTTTGAATGGGTGCCCTGTGGATGCTCCCATGGGAAGGGAGGGTCAAAGTATCTCTTTCCATTTCCTGTCTATAGGGCAAACCTGTCGCAACAGCCAAGGATGATCACTTTTATTACCAAAATACTATAACAGCTTCAAGGCTGTCACTTGGGAGATTTTTTTTTCCTTTTTTTTTTTTTGTAAATTCAGGTGCTTTGCAGTGAATTTAAAACATCCTCAGCCATCTCCTTTCATTCCTATGGAATAGACAAAAAAAAAAAAAAAAAATCCCTAGACTGACTCCTTCACAGGCAAAATCATGGCTTCTTTCCCAGGCAGGATAAGGGAGAGGGCATTGACTCCAGCCCTCACTTTATTAAGGAGATCATCTAGATGGCTTCTAGTAGCTTCACCAATAAAGATATGAAGAGGCTTATGAATATCCACAGCAATAGCAGCAGTGATTACAAATGTCCTACATTTAGATGATTTCCAGAAATTCCACCCACTCTAAAGCCCAGAGTGGTACCAGCATAAAGGTCCTAAAGTAGGCTTTCAGTGGTTTGTCACTCCCCAACAATAACCAAATGTGATATGCAAAAATTACTAGAAAGCTCCCTCGCCACCTAAGGTTTGCAATTCATTTTGAGAAGAAATCTTTAGTCTCACTTAAGGTCAAACGAGGAGCACATTTAGAAAACCTGCTAGGCTTCCATCCCTTTTTGCATTCAAGATGCCTGGGGGAAAGCTAGGATTTATAACTTTAAAGCATGTAAATTTTAGAGCCCAGCTATAAAAGGCTTTTTACACCCCTAACATGTTAAAGGTTATCCAGTATATTTATGTGACCTAAGCATGGCTTATTTAGTTTTATGGCCTTGGATATTTAAAGCATTATTAGGCATTTGTAAAATATTTCAAAATGCATTTTCAGGGGGAAAATGCGTTGTGTTAGTGGCACTAACATAATTGAAAGTACAAAACTGTTCTGTTCACAGACATAATAGATAGGGCAATTTCAACTCAACATCTGCTATGCAGGTTGCTAGCAAGAACATTTGTTTAAAACCTGCTCGTTGATACTGGGGAAGGGTGGCAATCAATGCTTAGTTCATAAGGAATTTTACGGAGATCTCCATTTCAGGATGTAGTAAAACCAAGTGTCCAAACAGGAGGCGTTTTTCCTGCTGGTACCATGTCAAGCAGTCAGTCCAGAGACACTTCAGAACTGCATTTTTCTCTGCGCCATATGGAGCAATGTTATTTCTCCATGCTCAGCAGATATTGAGTAAATGCTATTGATCAAACTGGCATGAAGTTTAAAAAAAAAAATGAAACTTCCTCAGAATCCTCACTGCAAGTACTTACATGGGTGGAGGTGAACCCCATACGTTTCCTTTTAGTTTATCATTTGTCTTAGTGAAAACTGTTGAGCATATACAACATCTGCGAAGGAGGGGGGCGGGTTGCCTCACGTACAGAAAATGACATATTGAGTCTGAATCAGTTCCACTCTAATTAGATGATACTTCTAAATGTCCCCTTTGTGCAACATCTGTGTCCCCTTTTCTACCAATAAAAACATATTAATGATTCTTTTCAGAAGTGTTGGAGGAAGGCTTCCAGATTCCAGCCACAATAACAGAACGATATAAAGTCGGAAGGACAATAGGAGATGGAAATTTTGCCGTTGTCAAGGAATGTGTAGAAAGGTGAGAAGAATATCACTTGTGTAAAACTTGAAAGGAAACATTTGGCATTATTTTCCCAGGTTGTATCTCTATCTATAGTCTGTGACCCATATGGAATAAGTAAATGTCTCGACCCCAGATGCAAAAAAAAAAAAAAAATTAAAGAGAAACTATTTAACAATGAACTTGAAAAATGTAGTGATTTCTGGGGGTGATCTGTGAATTAACTATGAATTAAGGACTTTGATTTTTTTTTAATTTAATGGGTGAAACTTTGCCAGGTCTTTCAGGTAAGTTTCTACTTTGTTAAAAAAAAAAAAAAACAATAGATGTATATATATATATATATATATATATATTGAATAGTTTTTCCCAGTACTTTTTGAGGCATTTTTCATAGAAGTCAAAATATTCCTATATGCAGTTTAAATCTCTAATGGGTACTATCATAAAATTGCACATAACAATAACCTTGAAAAGCTTTAAATGCCTGTGTTGGTGCCAAGAAGAAATGGTGCTTAATATACTAAAATATATTAAAATGGATAATCCAGGTACTCTGGGCCAAGGGGAAGGGTTTAAAGTGAAGGATTTATCCCTGAATTCTTAATGACATACTCAAGGACAGTAGCTAGTAGCTACTAGATGGGAAAGTAACAACTAATAAAATTTCAGACCAAGGTGCCCTCAAACCCTCAGCTCAGTATCAGATTTGGATTTCTGTTCTTGGGCACGTGCTTGTTTTAGAGATCGAGGTTATCCTGCAGCTTCTTCTCAGAGCTGTGTAGGCAGAGTATTGAGAAGTCAAGGGGCACCTGCCTCATTCCTTGAAGGAGTGTGTCCTCTAAGTTTCTGGGGGCCTAGTCTGGGATGCACATGACTCCCTTGCCCTTCTCTACTCCCAATGAGACAGGACTCTCTTTCCAGTCAGTTCCTCACCACCACACGGTCATCACACTCCTCTGTGTTATACCACCACTCAGAGAAGATGCCTCAGACCAGAGAAAGCATTTATTCCTGAAGAGCCAGAGCTGGTTCTTCTCCAAGGGTTTTAATTTAGAAGCACAGGTCCATACCACATTAGAGACGGAAGTCTACATAAGGCCTCACATCCTGAGGGTTCTACTTTGGCCAATATCCACTTACATACCATGTGCTCCCTCTTCCCCTTGACACTTCCTGGAGGATGCTTCTCCAACCAAGATAGCAGAGACTTCATTGCTCTACTCTTCATTGCTCCACTCCAACATGTCAGCTGGATGAGAACATTTGCAACAGAGACAGTCACCCATGATAGCAGTCACTCTCCATGAGGGAAGAACAGGGATGATCAGTAGATTGAAAATCCCTTTAGTGGATTCTGCCACGTCACTTTTTCCCCTTATCACAGAGCTTGGCCATTCATTGCCTTACTGTCAGATATAGAAAATACACCTAGTTGTGAGCCAGGAGTCTCTATAGCTGCCTCTTCCCTCCCCATGCAACCTTCAGACCATGCCTGCACGTGTGCCCATGACTACTTACCTGAAAATGTTCACAGCTAGCCTCCTGGCCATGTTTGGCCTGACCTGACCATACCTGATATTTCACTAAAGCTTGGAGAACTCAAAATGGAGCTTTTGGGACTGAAAGAAAGAGAACATGTTAAGCATGAGCCTCAAATTTCTAAGCAATAGAAACTTCAAAATACAACTGTGCTAAGGATTCTGAGAATAATGTCTTAAATGTGAGTTTTTTGAATTTATTGAGTCAAACTACTTGTCCTTAAGCACCTCATCCAGTGCTTACTTCAGAAAGAGGTACTCAGTAAATATTGACTGATAGGGTGACATTTTATGACGTTTGGCCAGAATCTCTTGTAAATTGCCAAAGTATACATCATCGGCTTCTTGCACATGATTTAGAAGAAGGTATTGAGTCTTGAATATAATATTTGTAGTGTGTCCTGCCATTATTAAAAAAATCCCATTACTTTACTAGGTCTCACACCTGCTAAGACAGGAGCAACCACTGTTTAGTGAGCATAAGCTATCTATGAGACCCTTAACTTATGACATCTCATGTAATCATCATAATGATCCCACAATACCAGTATTGTTGTGCCCATTTTTATAGAAGAAAAACTGGAGGAGTTAAATGTCTAAGGTCACTTAGCTAATAATACTTAATTGCTCAATAGTTAAGAAGGCTCTACTCCCAAACCCATACTTTTAGCTTCAACTCCACTGCTTCTGATGAATTCCCCACAGGACACATAACTGAGCCAAAATTACATGCATTGCATTTAGCTCTGTGCAAATAAGATAGAGAATGAACTCAGGAAAACTAAGCCTAAGGTGATGGGTGGAGGTGTGTGGACATGTTCATATCATTTTATATTTCATTGATTCTTTCACTGATAGTAAATCCAGCCCTTTTAACATGATTTTTGCTACAGCAGAAAATCCCATGTCTAGCAGATTGCCGTGGCCTTTCACTGTGGGGTGTCTGGTTGTTTGCCCGTGCTTGTCATCTGTTGTCTGACATGGCAGCAATGTGCCGTTTTTCTCCTATCTAGTCCATGGATTGGGATGACATCTTATCCTCCAGTTCCTGTCTTCCCACACTGGAGAATTCTCATTTCTCTTTCCAGAATTAATTTGTTTCTTTCTAACTTGGATTGTATTCATTTTGCACGAGTTCACATCTTGGGCCTCACTGTATGAAACTTCAGAGCCTAAATACCAAATTGCTCCAAAAGTGTTAGTATTCAGCTCCTGCTGAACAAGGACATATGGCATGTGCCCTCTCTCCCCAGAGGTATCATGAAAGATTCTTTTAATATTTTCCAGAGGTCCAAGAAAATAAAAGCAAGCTAAGAATGTTGTGAATGGCACACATTGCTTGCGGGTGTGTTCTGCCATATTTCTAGGGATGAATATGTATTAATAAGAGCAACTATGTTCTTCCACTGTTAATAATATGCTGTCACAGGCATGATTTTTCTACAACAATGGATACAATAATGGGGTCACACTGGTCCTGTTTCCTTCTGTGGTCCTGTGCCAGTGGATCAATGCTCTGCTGCTAAGTCCAGTGAGATTTCTGCTTGTGCCCCAGGAATAATTTTTCAAGTGGCCTCAGGGGCTCCCCAGACATGACAAAGGAAGTTAGTGGACTGGGAGTTCAGCTGGGAGAAACATGCTGTATTTTGAAGCTGCTTTGTGGGGCATTTTGAGTCCATTGAGATAAGTCACAGCAAAAGTACTCATAGAAGTCAGACCATGAATAAAGGACTTGCTAGGAAATGCCCTTCATTTCTAATTGCCCTGGCTTTGTGTGGACTAATTACCATGCATGTCAAGAGTAAGAGTAATGCAGTCTCGAGCAAAGATGGTGTCCCAGGTGGCTCTCTGCCCACCTCCACTGCTTGCATTTTTAGTTGACTTTAATATACATATATCTACATATATGTGTGTGTGTGTGTGTGTGTGTGTATTTAGTTGTAAGTGGATACAATACCTTTATTTTTTTAATGTGGTGCTGAGGATTGAACCCAGTGCCTCATGCATGCTCAAGGCGAGTACTCTACCATTGAGCCACAACCTCAGCCCTTTGGTGTTTTTTTTTTTTTAATGAGCTGCATTAAAATCCTTAGTGTTGATGTTTCCAGCTCTCCCTGCTCCATCCATAGACCTAAAGAATTGCACAATAAAACTAATAGTTCTAGAGATGAACATTAGCTGACTGTAACCCACTGGAACAAGCACCACTTAGAAAAACTACAGAATTTTCAAGAACTACAAGAACTGTGCACCCAGAGTCAGGAGACATGCCTTTAAGAATGGGGACTGGGAGGACAAGTCAGGTGAAGATGCTTAGACATCTCTGGACCAGCTGTTTATTTTGCTTCCGTCTTTCCTGCCTGAGTATGCTCTGGCACCTGATAACCGTGAGGCTCTTGGTCTCTTGGTCAACTTTGAAAATGAAAATTCTCTTCCAGAGATGGGATGCTTGGTTCTCTGCTACTGGTAGTTACCTCCTTGCAGAGGAGATGGAGCTCTACGAGGACAAACTTGGTGAACAATTTGTTGACCCATCCTATTGAGGGTGAGATGGTGTCTTCCAATCACTCTAGTAACTGCCACCACCTTCTAGAGTTTCCATAAATCAACCAACAAGTGCAGAGCTCTTGGGAATTCAGGACCTGCTGGGCATTTCTGGGCTACAGAGAGACAAAGCACAGCCTGTGTCCTTGGAAACTTAGCCATGTGCAAAGTATTGCTGCGAAATTAAATAAATGCTATGGTAGAGGAGCGCTTGGGAAGCTGTGTTTTCTTTGACACATAAGCTTTTCAACATTTTTCAAAACACAGCGAATAACAAGGAAAACCGCATTAGTCTAGAGTACCGCTTGATAGCCAATCCCCTTTTGACAAACATTCTGCTACCCTCCTTAGGTGAGGAGGAAATGGGAGGAAGAATTGCTATGCTGGACCAGACGACTTTCTTCCAATTGTTTGGAGCATGCACATAGAAAGCTAGCTTCTGTTCAAAATTTGGAAATTTGCATAATTCAGGAATTTCCTTCCAGTAGTGCAGGTTCTAACCATGGATCACTCGAACTGGGAAGATGACCTTACTAACTGACAAGGAGAAGAACAAAAATTTCTGCTGCTACTGCCTTTCTTGTGGCAGAGGGGGTTCTGTGAGGTGTCAAGAATAGAATTTCAGGAACAAACAAGCAAATGGCCTGTACTGTCACCAGCAAGCCAGGTAGTTAGTGTTCTTTTCCAATGGTAGACACCTTGAGGACAAGGAGCAAATCTTGCTCATCTCTGAATCCCCTGTAGATCTGTGCTTGTTGCTGAATAATTGCAGTCTCAGCAGTCCTCAGAGGTCAGGGTCTGAAGGGAAGCAAAGACATTATTTAAGGTTTTCTTTCTTGCCAAGTGCTTTCACTTAAAGGGAGCACTTATGTTTCTGTTCTTATGGTTTACATTAAGTCCTAACACCTGTTTTAAGGCTCGTTTTGCAGACAAGCTACTTTCCTATAAACATGTACTTCTGGGAACTAAGGATTTTATTATTTGACTTTGTAGTTCTATCCTCAAGGAATCAAGAGAGAAATGTTGCAATATTAATCTTGGTGGTCCTCCATGGGACTCATTCTCTGATATAAAATTTGGGTAAATTGAATAGAATGTTTAATCCTATTACAAACGATATTGGTAGGAAAGCCACAGGTCCTTTTTCCTTGTAAGCCCTGGGGCCACCTAGCCCGTATTTTCTCTCATTTTCCCTGAAGATGTAGGCTCAGGACAGAGACTGCTGTCTTAGCCTCCTGAGAGCCAATCCACCCACCTGCTCTCTGGGGATACTGCTCCTTGCCTATATGGCTATAAAGGAAAATTCAGCCTTCCCAGATCCCACACCAGCCCTTGGCCCAGAGTACTTTAACATTTAAAGGAAATGAGGATCAAATGGTAAACTTGACAATTACAAAGCTAAGACACACACACACACACACACACACACACACACACACACACACACACACACTTCTTACTAGTTTTCCTTTTTAGCCCTACAAAACTCCATCCTTGCTGTTTGGCCCTGCCTGGGATTGCTGGTGGAGATGGAAGCAGAGCATCCAAGTCTAGATTCCTCTGTTATCAAATGAAACTTGTTAAACCAGAGAGGAAATTGCTCATGGATTCTAATCTTGGGTTTACTCTATCATTAATTTTTGTGTGTGTTTGGGTGTGTGATTACGAAAATCAGAATCCAGAAACCTTTAGGCTTCTAGTTTTCCTCTTAAGAAACTCTCAAACTCCTTAGAAGCCTCATAAAAAGAGGCTTCTGAAAAGGACCCTGTGGTCTTGTAAGACCTGGGTCTTCCATGGTATGAGGAAGCCCTGGATAGCTGGATAATTTCACTTACACATTTCTGTTTGCTAGCACACTTCTGATTTCTGATGTTAGCTATTGTGTTTTACCTTTTTCTGAAGTTCTTCTCCACATTCACCCCATGACTTTGCTGACGGTCTGAAGTCTATGGAGGAAATGTCCAGTATCCAGGGCCCTGTACTGAGCTGAGGCCTGGTTCACATCTTCCTCTATCATAGCCTCTCTTCTCAGCCATGGCAGATTCATTGTTGAAAAAGCCACATGGCAACGTGGGAAAGACATCCTTGACCTTCTGAATTCAATCCTTGTGGAATTAAGGCAGTGTGTAATCCCCCTGAACACCCACATCTCTGCAGGAGGACCACCCTCAAGCAAAGGGTTTTACTCCCTCCCATCTGAACCCCAAAGCTCTCTAGTAGAGAGAGGGGGGCCTCAAAGTAATTATTCTGGTTTTATTCACCAGACACAATCATTACAATTTAATATCTATTCAGTGTTTTCTGCAAGCTAGCACTATTCAGGGGCCTGCTAATGTAGTAGGAGAAGCATTTTTGGAGGTAGTAGACATGAATCGTTTCTAAAATGCCCTTGAAAACCATTTTTAACACCTGGCCTCTTAAATTTGTCTGTAGGAAAAAAATCACTTTCTTGCTCTAAGCACGTTAACTAGGAAATCACACTTAATTCACCATACCAAAGATTGTAAAACCCTATTTTACAATTTTGTTCTTCATCAACCTCATTCTCCTTGCATACATAATTGCCTTTATCTGTAGGTAAAAAGGTAAGCTTAGTTTTGCACCAGAAATGAAAGCAGAGTGCTTTTGAAGTCATGGTTTGTTTGGTAGTTAAGCATGCACTTTGTCCTTCAACAATAGCCGTGTCCTTAGGTTCTCCACCGTGGTACCTTACAAATGTGGACACACTAGGAACCTAGTCAAAGGTGGCACTATGACTAAACCCTCCCTCCACGCCCATCACAGAGGGGGGGCAGTGTTGGTTAGGCTTTAGGGGAAACAGAGACTCCAAGAACTGAGAATCCTAATTTTATGCTCTGGGAAAGTGAGGTAATTGTAATTGTCACTTCCATTTTCTTTCAATGAAATGAGACAGGGGCCCCAGGGGTCCCAGGAAGCTCCAGGTATAATTGTACCCTTTTCAATACACCTTGAGCATATCATCTCTGAGTTCTCCAGCAGAACTCTCACATAAGCCTTGTCCCTGAACTGAGGTCTAAAGAGACTGATCTACTTCTTGGGAGGCTTCAGAACCCTTGGCCTTGAGTACCATTCAGAAAACTGTCACCAGCCACTGTCATGGATAGAAAACTTCAAGAGAGACTGTGGCAAGAAGGAGGACAGGAACTCATTGCCACTTCCAAAAGAACAGAGGAGAAATTCAGTAGGAGTGTAACATGGCAATAGCAGTGGTCATGTTGTAGTGCAAGCACAGCCACATAAAGAGATCGAGCATATTTTTTGTCCTTAGAATTGGTCAATCCATGAACATTTACAAATTTCTCGATTAAAAAAAGAAGAAGAAAGGAGAGCCTTACACAACATATGTACACCATGATGCAAGGTTTATGGGGTAAGAAATTAATCCCATGATTCAATTGATTGGAAATTGTTTTATTAAAAAGAAACTTTCTCTTTGCAGGTCAACTGCTAGGGAGTATGCTCTGAAAATTATCAAGAAGAGCAAGTGTCGAGGCAAAGTATGTATAAAGCTTATCATTGTGAAATACAGTGTTTGGACAGAAAGACATGAAAATTGGCTCCCAAATAAGTGAAGCTTACCCTTAGAGTTGCATTCTGGTGGAATAGAATGTTATATACTTATTTGAATATAACTTTTAAATATTTCTAGAATAAAGGTTGGTAGGAATGATTGGAAGTTCTTCTGCTCCTTATCTTCATTTGCTTTACTTTTTTCCCTTCCTTTTGTGATCTAAGTTTCATCCAATCCTATTGTATAAAATTATAGTTGTCATTATAGGCTCTGAATTTAATCACCTAAAGACCTTTAAGGTCTTTTGGCAATTCTACGCTATAGGAATATCATTTTATTTTACCAAAATACACCTCCCTTGATCCTCAAATAGTATCGTTGTGCTCTTTTGAGTTAGCTCCTCACATGTTTTATGTCTGATGATTAAGATTACTTTTCCCTTGGACAGGAACACATGATCCAGAATGAGGTGTCTATTTTAAGAAGAGTGAAGCATCCCAATATCGTCCTTCTGATTGAGGAGATGGACGTGCCGACTGAGCTTTATCTTGTCATGGAATTAGTAAAGGTGGGTGTTTTGGAAAACAAGCTTCTAATTGAGACATCATACTTTACTACACTGTAGAGTTCTTTCTTTTGCTTTCTTTCACCAGTATCCAGTCTTCTATTTCTGTGCATTGGTACAGTGACTATTAATGGGGACTGGAGGTAGCTCAGTGGTAGAGGGTTTGCCTAGTTATGTACACACCCCTGGCTCTTAACCCCAGAACCACACACACACAAAAATTAAATTAAAAATGCATTTAATAAACTTACTACTTATAAGAAAATGTTCAAGCTGTTACTATAAAGAAAAATGCTCATTCTTTCTAATGAAAGTAAGTTTTTTATCACTCAGAGTTGTTTTGTTATTCCGATATGTTGCCCTTTTAAACTTAGTGATTATTTTATAGGTAAAGCCGACTTTCTTTTTCTACTTGAAATTATGACTTGTTTCTGAGGGGTGAGGCCTTGTTTTTAGTAACATGAGAATATGGTTATGTTTGAAACTGACAAAATTATTGTCATGTTTGAGACTGAAGATGTCAAAAACATGACAACAGTTTTGTGGTAAAAGTGTTAAAACGTCATCCCAACAAAGAAAGGTTGATTTTACTTATTCAGATATTCACATTGGCACTTTATTATCAAATCATCTTTTTTCCAACCTTGAAAATTATACTTTCTGCAGCACCAAGAAGAGTATTTTTCCTATGACATTACTCTTTAGAAGAAGAGCTTTGAATCATTCCTATTGCCCCTCTGTGTGCTGTTAGAAATTGATTAACCCCCTGTTGTTATTGATTAGTTCCCTGTTGTTAGTTGATTTTTGGAGAGCTGAAATTAAATTAAATTTGGAGATGAGAAATAAAGGAGGCAAAGACTCAAGTGTTCAGAACACATTTTGTGGTAGATCTTAGTCTGATTATGTGCTGGTCAGTTGACCACAGTAAGGTCTTTATTGCATTTAACCGCTCTTGTGAGTTCTTTCTGCATAATCAACATATCCTAACCGGCCACGAAGGGATCAACATATCCTAACAGGCCACAGAGGGTCTCTAGTCCAGCACGGGATTGCTCAACCATGCCACTAAATTGTACCTTTAGATTTAATCTGACCCAGCACAGCCTTGATGCTAGGTCCAGAAGCTTCCTGGAAAGTGGAGACTAACCTCAGCCTTGCCTTGAAAGACTTCCATAACATCTTCCTGAGAAATCTGGGTAGGGCCATTCTTTCAAACCCTAAGGGTTTATGGTGTGCCAAGAAGTACCTGAATCTATAGAATAAATAAGGCCCATATTCTGGGAAACAGTGAAGTAGCAGTTATTAAGAGTGAAGTTCCATAATTTTCAGGGAAAGAAAAGAACATTCCAGAAAGGGGCCCTAAAGAGGACAGGCTTGGAGTTCAGTGAACTTGGTTTGTTTTGACAACCAGGAAAGAAATGTCCTACCTGGTACATAAGGTAACTGTCCTAAGAAATGGCAGGTGAAGAAAGGAAACAAACTGGAATGCAGGTTGGAGTCAGAACACAAGAAAGCCTTTCCTTCAGGATTTGGGCAAGGAGTAGCAATTTTTGATGAAAAAGAAAAAAAAAATTAGAGTGCTATAGTGTGAGGGAAGGTGACCATGGATATGCAGGATGCTTTAGATAAAGAGCTTATGGAAGGAAGCAGTGTGGTGCAGAGGCCACAGCCCAGTCCAGAGGCAACACAGCAAATGACTCCTTCACTTTGAATCATTAGAGGTGCTATGGCCCAGAAGGATGTGCATGAGAAATGATTTTTAAAGAAAGGACGAGTAAGATTTGTTGAGAGCTTTGTTGAGGATAAAGACAAAAAGCAATGACAGGACGTCTGGAGCCTAGATGGTTAAGACAATCATGGAGTCTTTGCAAGCCACATATGTCCTACCTGTGACTCCACAGGTGCCAATCACATGGACCACTGTGAATGTCCTGCCTCTTCGGAGACCACCTGCAAACTGTGTGGCAGCCTTTCTTTTGAAAGAAACAGAAAGTGCGGAGAGAAAACATTAATATTGGGGGGGAAAAAAAAAACTTCTATGCCTCATTTGAGAACCACTGTTGAAAGGACAATGAGAGAAGTTTCCAGAGTGGAGATTATACAAGGGAACAGGGAGTCCAAGCCCAATAGTGAGATCTGAGAATCATCAGCCTACAAAGGCTATATTTTGCTTTTGCTATTTTAAAAAGAAAAATTAAGTCCCTTGCCACATTAAATAACAGATGAATGCAACCGAGTCCTGTGCTCAGCTGTTCTAGGGCATTGTATGCTCGAATGATGCAAACATTTTTAGTAAATCAGATCCAAATTCCCTGAAAGGGTTTCAAACAAATGGAACTTAAATTGAAGTATCACTGTTTTGCCAAGTAGCAATAAATTAGCAAGGAACAAGGGAAATAAAAGTTCAGATGAATAATAGTCCTAGAAAACTTGCTTGGAAATTTCTCCACCCTCCCTCCCCTTTCTCTCTCATCTTTGGAATGATGAGTTCTGGTCCTCCTTCCTATTCTTTGCAAAGAAACACACTATTGGGAAAGAAAACACTTCTCCCAACCCCAGGCAGCTAAATCTAGAGAGTCAGGGGTGGGGGGAGAATGTCACAAGGCAGCAGAACGTTTTGTTAAGTGTGCAGTTTGCAGTTTTTCTCATTGGGGGAGGTTTAGGATTATGAGTCTGCTCTTCAGCTGGCAGTTGGTGTGAGGCAGGTAGCACGTGTCTGTCACCAGGATATTCACATGTCACAAGGCCACCGCCTGGGGACCCAGCTTCATCTCCTCCTCCTTGGTGGGGGCTGTGCAAATAGTCGTGTGTCTGTCAGAGTCCTCCCCCTCGCCTGTCTTGAGTTCTGGAGGAAATGTTGCCATTTTTCATTATGAGAGAGAAATCACCGTAAAGCCCTTTGAGACGCAAGTGGCAGGGAAAGCCCTTATGAGCCTAAAGCCCTGCATCCATTCTTCATCTTCTTTATGGTATGTCAGTCTCCTCTGCAGGCAGTCCCATCAGCCCATCTGTTAATGGGCTGCTCCACCTGCTGTTCTCTTCTCAGGGCGGAGACCTTTTTGATGCCATTACTTCCACTAACAAATATACCGAGCGAGATGCCAGTGGGATGCTGTACAACCTGGCCAGCGCCATCAAATACCTGCATAGCCTGAACATCGTGCACCGAGACATCAAGCCAGAGAACCTGCTGGTAAGAGGAATGCCATCTGCAGGGCACCCTGAGTTCATAGTCCCTGTGGGCGAATAGAATGTTTTCCCCCTTCTTCTTTTGAAAAATTTTACCTTGAAGGCTCATTTCTAGCTAGCCTCGGTTTCTCATGTAAAACCTTCCTTTTAAATGGATCTACAGAGGTAACGTGCCACTAAGAGAGTTCCACTTGTTAGTATTTATTTGCTAAGATAAATAAGAGCCTGAGACAGAAAGTCTGCAGCTGTAGTTAATATCTTGGGCCAAGATAAGATGGTGACCAGAAGCATTGTCACATACATTTTTTATCTCTAGCACTTTTAGGTAAGAAATTTTTGCCTGGCCAAAAAAAGGCCTTTTAGATTTTCTTTTAGTCTGGTAGCTACTGACTTTTTAATGATTTGATCTTAAACCTAAGAGAACTACATCATAAAGGCTTTAAAAGACTAACCCCTCAACATAAAAGACAAGCATAAAGAAAACTGATTTAATATAACAAGGGACATTTCCCCCTTTTTCCGCTATTTGGATTGCTTTTCATAGATTCCATATCTCTAGGGAAACATTGAGAGTTCTCCAGGTCAGAAAACAAGGGTTCTTTTTTGGCCTAGTTATTAAGGGGACAGTTGAGAAAAAGTAGGGAGGCAGAGACCAGGCAGGGAGAGCTATCATTGGGTAATATGGAAATAGAAAAAAATTACTTTTTTTCAGAAAGTTAGTTATTTACGTGCACTTTTTTATACATTATATGTGATATAGGTACATATATCATCACCACAAAGATTTTTTTTTTTTTTTACTTTCATCACCCATCCTTGAGCATCATATATAACCGTGATTCCTGTTAGTTTGCCCATCTTTTCAGAAACCCGGGAATTGTGGATTCTCTTTGTGAAGCAGTGCTTCTCCAAGGGTGGTCCAAAGGCTCCCTGCATCTGAATTATTCCCAGATGCCTGTTTAAAATGCAAATTTCTTGGCCTCCATAAACCTCTGCCAAATCAGAAATTGGTGTCTGGTGACAGTGTGCAGAAATCCTCACTGCTTCCAGCTCCCCGAGGTGACCTGAAGCAACACTCAAGTTTAAAATTAGATGAGCAACTCAAGTTGCACTGCACAACCAAAACCTAGTAAGATCTGCTGCAATGAGAACCCTTGTGTGCTCAGCCTTGTGCTAAGGACTTTACCATCAGTATCTTGTTTTATCCTGGCAGCCACCATGTGGGGTAAATTATACTGTCCCATTTCACAGGTAAGGGAACTGGGTGCCTAAGAGGCTAAATGACCCTCCCAAGGTAATAACAGCCCATAAGTAGAAGAGCCAAGATCTCAACCTAGTTCTGACCTACTCCAAAACCGCTAGACTGCAGTAAGCTATGAGTGGGGAGTTGGAGGGGGGTTAATTGAGTGCTCTTAATGGGCCAGGTACTCTGCCAGGGAACAAGAGAAGAAGTTGACGTTCAAGCAGAAAAGATAGGCATTCAAGAAATAAATATGCACATAATTAGTTTTTTGCAATTATGTTGGTAATCTTGCAGCTCCTGGCTAATGAAGGCAGCTGAGGAGGTCAGATCACAGAGCTCTGACTTAATTGTACCTCAAATTCCACATCTCCGCAGCAGCCTAAACATTCTCTTCTGCATAGTTGCTTTCATGAACTGCAGCAATTTTCCCTCATCTGCATTCCTGATTCCTGTGTCCTGAATTATGTAGGATTGTCTCGTGGGAACAGACTTACAAGTGGGTCTTTGTTAAATAATTTCTCTAAGCTCCAAAACATCAGTGATTGAAAAATTAAGGTTTCATTTCCCTTCCCCTCTTTTCTTTGCAGTTCAATTTGGGGCACCCATTGTTTACTTGCTCATCCCCGGAGCATTATCTATTTCTGTAAATGCCTTAAATGATTACATAGCAGTATACTTTTACTAAAATTAAAATTTGCCGGCTGCTTTTGAAGTGTGCTCATTGGAACATCGTTTAAATTACCCAAAAAGAAAAAAAATCTCTCTATACCCCTCCTCCTTTTCCTTTATTTGCTAATTTAAGAATCTATAACATATAGAGAAACCACTGGACGCCTTCATAATATAGGTTTAAAATATCTATAATATCTGCATGAAAAACTAAGAGATGCTATTCTCCATTAGCGTGATTTCTTTCTATGGGAAACAGGGGTTGGTGAATTTGCAGGGATAAATCTAATAGAGGATAAAATAGAACAGAATATGCTTTGAGAAATTAGGATGACATCACTTATTGCACATGAGATCTCTATTAATTGCAAATTCTATCAAACTGCCTGTGGAAATGTGCAAAAGCCATCATGAGAGGCATACTTTTACACAATCAGGATTTATAGTCTGATGGGTAGAAGTTCAAGACCAAGTGCTTTACTCTTCCATGAACCAGTCTCATGACCTTGAACAAGTTGTTTAACTCCTTTGAACCTCCTTTAAGTTGATTTTCTGGAGACAAAGAGAATTATAACTGTTAGTTCCCTTCATGTTTATTCTCTATTTCCTTGCAACAAAATTAAATAATCCCTAAAAATAAAACTGCTTCACCATAACATTGCAAATAGTAAAAATCATTTTTTCATCTTTTTTTGGCATTGCTTTAAAAATTTTACTATTCACCCATGCAAGGATTTGCTCCCTCATGTCAAAAAGTCGAGATATGGACTATTTTTTGAAAAATGCTGTGATAAACTTAATGTAAATACTCTGAATTTATGTGTTTATTTTAGGGAAACTTACCAAATAAGTAAAAAGACATCGCTGCACATTTTGCTTCACGGTTTCATTATGAAACCTCAAAAATCCTTCTAAACTGTTAGACCTGCTAACAAAATATTTGCTAATTAAGTGGTTGATTAATATTTGTTATAACTACCAAAATGTTTTTAAATGTCTAATTTAGCTTTATGTAGTATAATTGAGTGTACAAAACTTTTAGCATTTTTAAATTCTCATGGCATAATATAAAATTCATCTTTAAAGGTCAATATTGATTATATGAATGATTTTTAACCCTTAAGTATTTGGTGAGGTCAAAGTATGTTAATGAGAAAATATCATCTGACTTACAGTGATGTTTCCAGCTATGATTTAGGTGAAAACTGGGAACTGGCCCAATACAAACACCTTTGATAAAGTTATTGCTTTCTTTTCTTTTTTTTTTTTTTGTATCACTGCTAAAGTTGTTCCTCCATGTTAATCATGCCAATGATTTTTGTGGTTCCTATTGCTTTACTTGTTGTCAAGCCTGTTAGCCTGTTACCTAGTGATCATATGCATGAGTGATAGGTGAATGACAGAGTGAATGCGATGGGCATGTGAGTGAATGAGTGATACTTCCTCACAAAGGAAAGGATGGAGCTGACATGCCAAGTCCAAGACATTTCCCAGCTCATTTGTTACTTGGAGTAGTCACAGCCTTAGGGACAGTGGTTTCTACCACTGCACTTATGCATAAGATCACTCTACTTATTCACAGGATTGCTGTGTGTGTGTGTGTGTGTGTGTGTGTGTGTGTG